CAAACGGATCCGGTAGAAACCTTATTAGATATTAAGCTTTATAAAGAACTTCGCTTTGCTAGTTCGTTGTAAGACTTCGTCGATTAATGGTAATGGGTAACAATCCTTTTTTGTAATAGCATTTAATCTTCGGAAGTCGATATAGAAACGAAGACTACCTCTAGGTTTCTTCGCTATCAAGATTAGAGAAGCATATAGTGCTAAACTTGGAACGATAAATCCTTTCTTGAGATTCTTTATAATGTACTCTCTTGCCTCCTTCAGTTTATAAAGGGATAGCTTATAAAGAGGACAGTACCTAGATTGCGCCTCGGCTTTAAGCATAATATCGTGATCAACTCTAGGTCTATAAGGTGGTAATTTATCTGATCTTTTCTTCGAGAAAACTTCCGCGAGGTCGTGGTACTCCTTTGGCAGAGTCCGGAGTATCTCATTGATTTCAAGATCCTATATTTAAGCACTTTTAATATCGATAATATGATCAATTTCGTAGAGGGAAGTTATAAAGGTTTCGGTTTCTTTGTCAACTTTACTTCTTACGTGAAGTCGATTGAATCTAGCGCCTCCGATCGCGTAGATATCGATACTAATCGGGGACTACTCTTCCTTCGTTGATATCCGGGACTTCGGAACCTTCGTTTTATCTTCTAAATTTCGAATTATCTTCCGCTTCTCTTCAACCTACTAGTACCTATACTAACGCTCTCGGGTACGTCGGAGTTACGAAGGTAGTTACTAATCCTATTATCCGAAAAGACGATCGCGTTGTTTTATATTAGCTTAGTAGGTAGGGTCTGTCTTCGAAGGCTTCTTTAGGATTTCGGTTAGAAAAGGAATAGCAATCTTACTTGCAACTTCGTTAGAGAGACTTCTTTGATCCGGCCAAATCATTCGGTACCGTCGACAGTCTAGAAGAACATCATACTCGGCAAACCACATCCGTCCGAGGATCATATCATATCGTCCGAGATCTACAATCAACATTAGGACTTGCCGCTACACTCTACCGTCTACGTAAACCGTGAGAATAGCGGTATATCGTATTAGTTTAGCTAGCTTGCTATTAAATCCACGTACCGGATATTTACGGCTAAGCCTCTCTATCTTAATTCCAAATCGTTTGCCGAGTAGTACAATTATTATCGTGTTAATAAAGATATATCCGTCTACTCTAGTATCACCCGATACTAAGATAGAAAAAGAGTGGCCATTATACATAAGTTATATATTAAAAACTAAGCTATCTCTAGGACTACTAACTAACTTCTATAAGTCTAGCGCAAATAGTGATACTTTCTTTCTACCTAGGAGGGAGACTTATCCTAGGCAAAGGCTTTTCCCGGATTCTTTTTATCGCTTACTTCGAGTTCTACGATCTCCTGAATCCGAGGGGTGGTAACGGTCGTAGTAGCCACGGTAGTAGGCTAGTTTAACTTCTTCTTCGGACAATCACGGGTTATATATCCTCGTTCCTTATAATTAAAATAACGACCTTTTTTTATTAAGGTCTCTCGCTTAGACGCGGAGAGACTAACAAAGTTGGCACTACCTTCCCGCTTCATACGGGGAGTAGAATTCGAACTAGTCGTGGTGGTACCTATACCGCTTCCTAAGGGTAGGTTTATACGGGAACGAGAATTAGTTGACTTAGCTTCCTACTACAAGCTGATTTCGTATAATATACTCTAGTAACTCTATGCGAATGTATCGAACGAGACCATCTCTTAGTTGATAGCCTATATAACCTAGGTTTGAAGTAGGTACGGGAGTTTGGAATATAGATCTCGTTTTCGATTCTTAATTACAACGGCAGCTTCTTCTGTAAGCTATATAAACTCTATAAGGAAATCGGTAAAGTTGTCTCTAGGCTTTATTTTTAGTCGGTGGTATATAGTATACGCTTCGGCACGTCGATTCGGGTTTATAAAGACGGTCTTTAAGTAGGTAATAATGTCCTCTGCATCTTCGTAAGGAATACTAGCGTCGGCGCTTATTCGGGGAGCAATATATAACTAGGCCTTGCCTTTATATCGGCTTTGTACGTAGAGTCTCCGATAGATAGGGAGAGGGTAATAGTCTGCGTTAGCTTTAAGTTTCTGTCGGATTACTATCTCCTATGTTTCGAATCTCACTTCTTTCCCGTCATTGAGTATTGGTGTATTAGGCATCTTGGTCGTCTTCCGGGTAACGTTAGCCTCTACGATCGGTACGCCAGCGTTAGCTATATTAGGATTCTAAGTAGTAAGGAGGCGGAACGCTAAGTCCCCACGCTTATAGGTCGCTATATTACGATGAGCAATTGCCTTATCGCGCTTAGTTATCAAGTCGTTAATATCACTAAGGAGTATTACGACCTCCTCTCTTAAATCCTAATTCTCTTACTCTAGTCGTCGGTACTAACGAGTAAGTTCCTAGAATCTCTCTTTTGAGAGGGTCTTCCGAAGTTGTTCGCGTATAGAAGATAATCCTTCTCTAACGTTATCATCATTATTCGTCTCACTAGTATCTACTAGTCTCGGTATTTCGGCGTATAGGGTTCGGGGTTCGGATGCATCGACCACCTAGTCGATCTCTTCTTCTTCCGGCATAGCAGCGAGCGGCTACTTGCCACGGTTTATCGGGTTTCGGCGGGTCTCGACCATTGTGACTAGTCAGATAGGGTTCGGTTCGGAGGGTCGGTCTTAGCTATACGATACCAAAAAACGGAAAGTGGGTAAGCTTTGACCGAGATCTACCACAATAGGGATCTATATAGTCTTTCTGCTTATTAAGAATTGATTAGGTATTTAATGTTATGTTACCAGCCAGTTCTTTAACAAAAAGAGTGCATTCAACTAAAACATTAAATACAAGGAGAAAAAAAAAAGAAAAGAAAGAAAAGAAGAATCACAAACAGGACCAAAGACAATGTGGGGTGGGTCCTGTTTCAAAGGCGGAAACAATCTACAGAAAACTCTGCAAGGCGGAAACACACGGTAGAACCAACTGACTCGTCCAAAGGCGGAGCCAGTCGGCAGAAAACTCTACAGGCGGAGTCAACTGGTTGAAAGCTTCTGCAAATCGTCACAAAATACGCGATATTCCTACTTTATTATTATTCGATCTAGAAGCTTCTATTAACGTTATATAAAATAATAATAATAATAATTAATATAGAGATAAAATAAGAGATTAAGGCTATAGTAGTAGAGGTTATAAAGATAATTTATATAACTCTAAATCGGATAATAATAATAATAAAGATAATTAAAATAATTAGAAGGAATAATATTAAGATATAAAGAATATACCGCCTAAAGATAAGTTAATTAATAAATAAGCGGAATAATAGCGTAATTAATAGCTATAATATATAAATAGTTTAGAATATATCTATTATAGATATATTAGATATCCTATTAAGATATATTTCTACCTAATAGAGGATCTATCTATAGAAAGATAGAAGTTATATAGTAATACTTAGTACTATATAATTCTATATAAAGGAAAAGGTAAGGCTAGTATTACTTATACTAATATAGCTTATTTTTTAGAAGATAACTAGATAATTAATAGTAGTACTTCTAAAATAATTATTAGATATTATAAGGACTTCTATAAATACTTAACTTATAAACTTAATAAGGAGCTATATAGCTATATAAATACTAATAGTAAGGTCTAATTAATAATTAGTTATAATAAGACGCTAATTTAAATTAAGAATTCGGAAGGTAAGATTAAGATAATTCTTATTAATATTTATTATAATATAATAACTACTAATTGTTTACTTTTATCTAATACTTTTAAAGCGGATTATAGTATCTACTATAATCTAATTATTTTAAAACTAGTTTATAAAAATAAGGAGGAAGTTAGATTAGTAAAATAGTTTAATAATTTATCTTAGATTAATAGTCTATTCTATTAAGAAGTAATTCTAGAGAAGATATAATAATCTTCTATTTAAATAACTTACTTTTATAAATCGAATTCTTCTAATTTAGACTTAGATTTAGATAAAGAGTTTAATCGAATTAATAAATCTATTTCGATTTATAAAATTTATCGTCGATTTAGTTATATAGAAAGACTATATATTAAAGCTTCTTTTTCTAATACTATTCTTCTAGAAGAAAGAGATTAAGTTAAACTTTATAATTTTAACTATAAAGCTTATTAATTTAGTAAAGCTAAGAAGTAGATTTCTCGGGATATATAATAATATATAAAGAAGCTAGATATAAAGTTTTATATAAATATAAAAACTATAAACCTACTTAAATCTTATAGTAAATATTATTAGATACTAATTATCGATAATTATACTCGATATATTAAAGGACTATACTTTCGAACTAAAAAGGAGATTATATCTTATATAATTACTTTTTATAAGAGATAGAAGATTTTTTATAGACGTTATCTAACTTTTTAGCGGATTAATAAAGGAATTAAATTCTATAAGTTTTAAATATAGATAAAGAAAGAAGATATAGTTTTTAAAATTATACCTATCTATATATTTAAACCGAATAGTATTATAAAGCGTATAGATAATTATATTAACTAGATTTAATATATAATAAATATAAACGCTAAGCTTCTTAAATAGCTTTAGTTTTATTAAATAAATACTATAATTTATATTTATAATTATTTAGTTAATCTAAAGATTATAAAGATATTAATTATCTCTTAGTAGGAGGGCTTTAATCTTAATAAAATAAAGATTAATTTAAAATATTTTTATATATAGGATACTATTATATTTATTTATATTCTAAAAGAGATATATATTTAATTAGAGAAATTAGCTATTTATATATTTAAAGGATATTTAGTTAGTTATAAAGATAAGAATAGTTATATCTTTAAAATATAAAATCCTATTTCGAAGAAGATTATTTATTTATAGGATATTATTTTTCCTAATAAACTAGATCTTAACTCTTCTATTAAAGAATTGCGTTTTGCTATTTGGCTGCCTTTTTCGGCGGCAGGTGAGGCCAAAAATGGCCGCCTTTCAGCAACCCCCTCCGCCACGCTCCCGCCCCCTTCGACCACGCACCACGCACCACGCACCACTCACCGCTTTCTGCCTCAGACAGCCATCTCGTGCGCGCTTACATCCTGGGTTCCCAGAAGGCTCCTCAATCGCTCCACAACTCCTAAGAGGGGGACGCCGAAAATGGCTCCTTCAGCACCACACCAGTTACATCCCGGCCAGTACCCAGCCGCCATGGCTATAAATATCCTCTTCCCAACCGACCATCCATCCTCCGTCCAACACTGTCCTCATTCCGACTTAAGTGCCACTCTAAAGCTCTCTGATCTTTCGTCGTTCTTTCTTCTATTCAGTCGTGCATTAAAACCTCTCGAGCTCCGAGATAGTTGCGTCGCACGATCGGCGAAATCTATTAGCCATGCGTCGTCGTCGGTCGCCCAATGCCAGCAACCATGGAATCACGAGCGAATCCTCTTGTACCTCTCCCATCGATACCGACGATGATAGACCGTTCGAGCCCGATTCCTCTGAGACCGATCTCACCGAGCCGGAATACTCCCCTCCAGCGGGTCGAACGATTGCTAGGAAGAAGTCTCATCCAAACTCTGGAACAAAATCGTTACCAGCAGACTTGTCGAATATGGAGCGTGTCCACCAGGCCCGATACCAAGTCCCGGATGATGACACGGATGAGGACCTGGCCCAGGTGCCGGAGGATTACGGCCGATCCAACCAAACGAAGAAGTTGAAACTTCGACTGAAAGAGCGTTGGGCTTGGTAAGTGACCGGGATATCGTTCAAAGCTTACAGCGAATATCGGCTGACCAACATGCCTCATCTCAGGTTCTGCTAAATGAAAGCGATGAAGCTGTCCACCGATCCAAAATGGGAGGATGCGGAAGATGCACTGCGTGAGGCGTCTCCAAATGAGATGCATCGGTTTCTAAATTGGTGCCTGAAGTTGGAGTATAGTCCCAACGGTCGCCGTCAGAAAGGCTATAAAAAGGCCAGCGCCCTTGAAGCGGATTGGAAGTATTTCCGAATCTACTATACACGAGTTACCAAACACGAGATGAGCAAAGAGATGGGTGAGGCAGTTCGCACGGTTTGTTCTTTGACCCTTCCCCCAGCCCAATCGTCTCCAGGAGGCTTGCGCTGACGAAAACCGACAGGGCATGAGATACTTGGTGGATAAGCGCGGTCTTGACAAACAACCGCGGGCAAATGTCCCAGTTTATATCGAGGATATGATTCCATTCAATGAGACAATTTTTCAAACCCGGGAGAAGCGATTTCACTTGGGGTTTCAGCGGATCATCCTATGTCTATACAACACTCTTGGGTTATTTACCATCAACCGAAAACAGGCAATGCTTGACCTTCAGTTCAAGCATCTACAAATATCGCTCCAGCAGGATCCGCACGGAGGACCTCCGAAGCCGATGATAGAACTCGAGCCCCAGTTTGTGAAAAGCGTCCTGGGCATGTCGAAGCTGTAGGTGGCACTCCATGCTATATACCTGCCCACCCCAGGACTTGTTTACTACACTCAGACTGACTGGTCAATGTTAATTAGCAACACGTTCGCGCTACCTGAAATTGTCTACGGTGTATCGCTTGTCTTCAGCCCGCATGTTCTACTCTTCATTATATTATTTTATGTCCACGCCTTTGAAGCGCCTCACTTAACCTCAATGGAAGACCTTCGGAGACTGCTTGTCGAGGGCGGCCGACAGGAAATGGCACTTCCCTTGAAGAAAGAGATGGATAATTACTATGTCTTCCCGAAGGTTGAGGCGATCTGTGGCCAGCCCCGCATTTTGTGGGAGACGCCTATGAATGGTAGCACACTCGACGCACAACTCAGGACATCCAGTGAGATACACGGCTTCCTTAATCATTTCTTCTCTCACCAATTTCGATACGGAGGAGGTGATTTACTTGACAAGAGTGGTGAGTGGACTATAATTACCCAGGATTCTGATTTTCTCTAGATGAGTGGACTAACTCTTCTGCCTAGGTTTTGTCAGTGAAGCACAGCGTAATGTGATCATGGCCCACGCCACTAGCAGAACGTTTATCAAACATTATCGTCCCCGTCGGCATACTGGCTTACAAGAGATCATGTGCGGCCTCAATCCAGACGAAGAGTTCTCAAAGGCTGTGACCCGGATGAGCCGTTGGATTGATCGGCGGCGACCACGATACCTGAGCGACGCTGACCGGGAATCAGTGGAGAAAGACTCAGAACTGCAATCAGCCATACGCTGGCAAGTCGATTTAGAGACCCAGTGCGCTGATCGCTTTCAAAACCCAGCATTGCGAGCGATGCTGGAGGACCAGAAGCGACAAGTCCACAATTTGCGCCGGCGTCTGCAAGACAAACGGCGGAAAGAAACACGCCGCGATTTTAGTCGGAAACAGGCGGTAATTGACATCGAAAGACAGCTCACTGGTGGGGCTGTCAGTGATGAGCCTGCGCGCGAAGTATTACGGAAGGAGTTTGAAATGCCATCGGAGCAGATTCTTCTCGTGGAGACGTTCTTTACTTGGCCCACCACCGATTCATTAGAAGACGAGTGGACGCGGCGCAACAAAGCTGTTGCTGCTGGAATACAATATTGCGGCTTTCAGGAGGGTGGGCCCCTTCGGGGACGACGGAAGCGCTCTGCACCGTCCGACAATGACGATGCAGTTCCCTCTCCGCCAGCTCGAAAGATAAAACCTGATACGCCGCCGACTACGTCGTGGGAGAATGAACGTACCAATGGCCGGGAACATATCCCGAATGCAAAGCAAACATTCGCATGCTTCCAATGCCCCAAGACATACTCCGGCTGTAATGGAGTGAAGAGGCATTTCAGGACATCCCATTTGACGGACCGGACATGTAATTTCTGCGATTTGTCCGTCCTGCACGAGATGCACTTGCGGAGGCATGCCGAGGATGTCCATGGCCTTCGAACATGAGCGTCAGATTCTACTCTTCCGATCTTCGAGGGCCTTGCGCCATTTCTTTATTTCTCTACTTGGACACACTTGGCGGAGCCATAGCTGTTGACTATTTCACTAAAGCGTACCTTATTTGTCCCGATTATTTAGAGTCACCGGAATAAAATCCCATCGTAGTTGTTCGAACTTTTGATTGATGGGTCATAATGAATTCGACTGCCTTCCTCTTTTACTCATCTCTGTATACCTATTAACTTTTTGTGCGTCTCATCACGCGAACAAATCACTATCATGGAAGAGACCTCACATCTCGAAGTTGGTCCAATCCATGTCTAGTAGCGAAGTCATACAAACGAGCATGCACCAGCAGTGTCTTGGGATGTTTGCACAGGTGGTTTCCATCTCCACAATGTGGCAAAGATATCAAATTGTCGGTCTTCACCTGGATACCTTCATGACTCGCAAAATAATTTTCTTTCATTCAGGCCACGATGACGAAGCCATCAATTTGCTACAGTATTTCCGGAAATCGGTGTCACCCCCCGCACTCTTTCATTGTTCCCCAGACCCTAAATGCCAAGATACACTAGACCTTATTGAGCAAGAAATAAAAATAGCAACTTTCCGGTATTTTACAAATACTATCACTTTCAGAGTTAAGTTACATACCATATGCTTATGTGTGTATGGCAGATATGAGTATTTCTGGAACCTTCCAGAATCAAACAATTCAAACAACTCCAGCAACGCTGGATCTTGCGGACCTAACTTGTCATCTTCTCCGTCCACGCAGCGTGTCCAAGTGGCAATCCTAGCGCTTACCCGCAATCTTAGAACCTTAACAACCCCATAATCTGACTGCACGGGCCGATCTTCCAAATTTGGACTGACAGAAGACCAATGATCCTGCTGATCACCATACTCAGCCTGTCAAACACATACTCCTCTTACCCTATGCGTGATGGCAGCCTCTTTGTTTCCAGCTAACGTATGATGGCACCATGAATAGGCTCCTCATTAGTATCTACTGCTTGGAGGGAATAGCTTACACTGCTTTCGATAATGATAACATCTACTAACCTCGTCTGCCCAATCTACGAGACCCGACTGCCTCGTATGCCTTTGCACCTGGCCGTGAATGGCCGCCATCTGTAGATTATGCTTTACACATTTCTAAATCACTTAGCTGCAAGATATATTGAAATACGTAAACGCAAGGGGAATGGCTACATTATTGAACAGCTACTGGCATTTCCTGAACGTTAGGCTGTACAGAAGAATCTTAGCTACAAACGAGAAACAGAATAGTTTATAGCCGGAAACCCACCATACAGATGTGTTTTTTCTGCAGCCTATGCAGTAAAAAAGGGACATGCTGAGCGTACGGACTAAGTTAAAACAGCTCTAAAAGTACCAAGACCCTAAGAAAGTAGCTAGCAGCCCGAACAAAATCGCAGAGAATATTACTCCCGGTTTGAACGAAGTGTTTGGAACCAGAGTGTTCTTTTCCCGAGATAGTAAAGCTGAGGCATCTTTCGATAGCTTCATCTCAGATTGATTGTTGTTTTTCCCGAGAGGTTCATAAGAATGTTGATTGAGGAAGTAAATCAATTGCTGTGACACTGGTCCAGTGAGTTGAGACTCGTTATCAGGTAGGCCAGGCATCTCAAAGACTCCGTGCTTCTGATCTGGATTTACTCTGTGATGAAAAGGGTGCTTGAGTACACAAGAAGAACAGATATCCATATTCGCGCAGATTCTGCATACAGAACGAGGCCCAGTGATAGGCCAACTGCAGAAATTGCAGGTAGCCTTGCACATATGAGTGGCAAGGGAGCTATTATGAGAAAGGCGAACTTGAAATAGATGGCGTGCGTTGTTCGTGTCATCAAGAAATAAGAAATACCGAGCTAATTGTTGCAAAATTAACCATGCATAGATCAGGCTGGGTCCAGGAAGAAAATCGGAGAGGTGGAAGAGTGATTGTTGTACAATTGATTCTTGAATCTCGCGAGGTGTCAATGAGAGCTGAGGACAACGTTCACGTATTTCCCGCATCAAAGTTCCTTGCCCGATGGCCCAGTCCATAGCATGTCTACCATAGCCGTCTGGAAGAGAAGGGTCGGCACCAAGATGAAGAAGTTTTATTGCAAAGTGGATGTGGCCAAAGCAGATAGCCAGGTGGAGAGGGGTTTGCAGGAGCTTGTTGCGCTTGTTGATAGCCGAAGCAAGTTGCGGAAATCGAAAGAGAAGGTGAGCCTTATCTTTTGAAGCTGCAATGTGAAGAGGAGTCTGATCGAGCGCATCTGTATGGCCAATATCTACGCCAGCATGAAAAAGAATTTCAATAACATCAGCATGGCCCGAGTAAATAGCGGCTAAGAGAATCGATCCATGTTGACCACCCTGGGTGTTGACATCGGCCCGGGCGTCGAGCAGGATCTTGACCGTCTCAGCACTTCCATTATATGCAGCAGCCTGTAGGGCATTGCCGAAATGACCACCCTGGGTGTTGACATCGGCCTGGGCGTCGAGTAGGATCTTGACTGTCTCAGCACTTCCATCACATGCAGCAGCCTGTAGGGCATTGCCGTATTTACCACCCTGGGCGTTGACATCGGCGTGGGCGTCGAGTAGGATGTTGACTGTCTCAGCACTTCCTCTCCATGCAGCAGCCTGTAGGGCATTGCCGTATTTACCACCCTGGGCGTTGACATCGGCGTGGGCGTCGAGTAGGATCTTGACTGTCTCAGCACTTCCTCTCCATGCAGCAGCCTGTAGGGCATTGCCGTATTTACCACCCTGGGTGTTGACATCGGCCTGGGCGTCGAGTAGGATCTTGACTGTCTTAGAACTTCCAATATATGCAGCAGCCTGTAGGGTATTGCCGAAATGACCACCCTGGGTATTGACATCGGCCTGGGCGTCGAGTAGGATCTTGACTGTCTCAGCACTTCCATTATATGCAGCAGCCTGTAGGGCATTGCCGTATTCACCACCCTGGGCGTTGACATCGGCGTGGGCGTCGAGCAGGATCTTGACTGTCTCAGCACTTCCACTCCATGCAGCAGCCTGTAGGGCATTGCCGTATTTACCACCCTGGGCGTTGACATCGGCCTGGGCGTCGAGCAGGATCTTGACTGTCTCAGCACTCCATGCAGCAGCCTGTAGGGCATTGCCGTATTTACCACCCTGGGTGTTGACATCGGCCTGGGCGTCGAGCAGGATCTTGACCGTCTCAGCACTTTCACTCCATGCAGCAGCCTGTAGGGCATTGCCGTATTCACCACCCTGGGCGTTGACATCGGCGTGGGCGTCGAGCAGGATCTTGACTGTCTCAGCACTTCCACTCCATGCAGCAGCCTGTAGGGCATTGCCGTATTTACCACCCTGGGTGTTGACATCGGCCTGGGCGTCGAGCAGGATCTTGACCGTCTCAGCACTTCCACTCCATGCAGCAGCCTGTAGGGCATTGCCGTATTCACCACCCTGGGCGTTGACATCGGCCTGGGCGTCGAGTAGGATCTTGACTGTCTCAGCACTTCCATCACATGCAGCAGCCTGTAGGGCATTGCCGTATCCACCACCCTGGGCGTTGACATCGGCCTGGGCGTCGAGCAGGATTTTGACTGTCTCAACACTTCCATTACATACAGCAGTCTGTAGGGCATTGCCGAAATAACTACTCTGGGTGTTGACATCGGCCTGGGCGTCGAGCAGGATCTTGACTGTCTCAGCACTTCCTCTCCATGCAGCAGCCTGTAGGGCATTGCTGTATTTACCACCCTGGGTGTTGACATCGGCCTGGGCGTCGAGCAGGATCTTGACTGTCTCAGCACTTCCATTATATGCAGCAGCCTGTAGGGCATTGCCGTATTCACCACCCTGGGCGTTGACATCGGCGTGGGCGTCGAGCAGGATCTTGACTGTCTCAGCACTTCCACTCCATGCAGCAGCCTGTAGGGCATTGCCGTATTTACCACCCTGGGCGTTGACATCGGCGTGGGCGTCGAGCAGGATCTTGACTGTCTCAGCACTTCCACTCCATGCAGCAGCCTGTAGGGCATTGCCGTATTCACCACCCTGGGCGTTGACATTCGCTCCAGCGCCGAGTAATATCATTACAATCGCACTGTGACCTTCCAATGAAGCCTTTTGTAGCGCGCCCCCATCTCCTGTCTCAATCTCCACGCCCTCATCCAGAAGCCATCCCACAAACCCCAAATGTCCACATCTGGCTGCCTCCATTAAAGGAGTCGCTCCATCGATGTTTTTCGCTTCTCGGTTTGCTCCTCTTTCCTGCAATATTTTGCCGGCCGTCGTGTGCCCTGCTCGTGCAGCAAAGTGTAACGCTGTATTTCCAACTTCGTTTTTCCTCTCTATATCCTTCTCATCCGACAACGCAGATACTACCACATCAACGAGATTGGCAGCGGCAGCCATATGTAAAACTGTTGTGCCTGTGGGTGGACATGCTGTGTGATAAGTATCAAGGCGTCGGTAGATTTCAACCCAATAACCGATCATTCGTTGTAGGATGTCCTTTTCATTCTGCAGCAAGGCACCTCGAGAGCCGGCGGCCTTTTCTGCATGAATAAAGAGATTGATGGTCGCATAGTTCACAAATGGGTGTTCACAGACAAGCTTCTCTTTTAATCCCAGAAATTTACTCATCTGTTTGTTTGAACAGATCGTGGCAAGATATACTAGACACGATCGGTAGAGAGTTGCCTGAGACTGAGAGAGAATATTGTTTATATCCCCAGACCCCACGCTCGCGCTGATGCCATGGTACAAAAGGGCCAGTCCTTTTGCCCGCAAGAAATCGTTGACCGACTGGTGAACCACCTGTACGGTTTCCTCATCATTCCCACTTGAGACTACTTCTGCCAGTCCACCAGCAAGAGCCTTGACTCTTCGCTTCATGCGTTCATTGCTTTCTATAAAGCCGTGGAGCTTCTCCCATTCGATTCGAGACGACGTTATTTGGGCATTCTGAGCCGCCAATGCGTATCGTATTTCAACTATAGTCAAGGGTCGTTCGGCCAGGCATACCCATTGAAAAAATAGGAATGATTGGTCTCGATTCCTAGCCGTGATCACGTTGCTCAGAATATACACGTAGACGTTTTCTAGATCGGCTAGGATATCGCCCAACCAATCACGGATATCGCTGATTGACTCCCCTTCGATAACCTTTTGCTTGACAAGGGGAATTATAAGATGGGCCCATTGGAACACACCCTTAGCATACTGGGTCAATTCCTCTACTAGCACCTCTCTCATCTCTAGATTAGGAACATCTTCCAACTCTGTCTCAAGAAGCATATCCTTGATATATGTAGCAATGTCATCTTGATTGTGGTCTTCGACATATATCGCTTTTGCCCGGGCACTTTCCAAGATAGGATAGTGTCGACAAGAGATGCAGACTTGAAGGGTTAGCTTCTTTTTGTCAGCACGATCAATAAGACGGTGGAAATATGCTGCAAGCTTTTGGGCAGACTCAGCCCCAGCCTCATCTAGAGCATCCACAAAGATAATCACAGGCTGCTCGTTGGCTGATGCTAGGATAGCAGTTGCCAATAACTCTTCAAGTATCGTTTGCGGCCACTCCCACTTGCGTTCTCCATACCCAAACTGTCTACATCGTTGTTCATAGATATCGCGCACCTGAGGGCGTATGGTCGCGTCACGGTCGAAAATCTGGTTCAATAACGATCTAAGCATTCCAAGCGGTGTACGTTGCATCTCCGTGCCTCGGGCGGTAAAGAAAAAATCGAGTCGAATAATACCATGAATGCCGTCCTGTGATTCTTTGAGTTTGTCATGTAGGAAGGCCATCAAGGTCGATTTTCCCGCACCCGGCTTTCCTTTAACCCATAGTAGACCGCAGGACTGATTCCTCCAGGACTGATACTCGTCCAGCTCTAATATCCATTGGCAGGTATTCGTGTGACATGGCTCGATATTATCCCTCCGATCTAGCATCTGTGGAAATGCTAGTGACCTGAGCAGCTCTGCGTCTGTGGTAAGTCAGATTGTCTTTGACTGGTACAGTGTGGAGCGAACCGTTGTCTGTCTTCTGTACTGGATTTTCCGGTCGGTCTGGACCAAAGTGTTAGTCACCTTATTACGGCTTTTCGAGGACTCTTGACACATACCGGATGAAATGTTAATTGTCCCGATTGTCCCATGGTTATTTCCAAGTTGGAGACCCGTGTTCGCACTACCAAAAGACATCGGGCTCATGCTGAATATTCAGTGAGTAAAATGGGGCTGGTCCAAGCCGAGCGAAAGTTCCACCACCTGAAAGTCACTTTGTCTTTTGCCCCGCTCTCAGGTGACCGCCGGGCGCTAAACCTTGCTAGGTTGGGAGCGATGGTTCGTTGCACCGCTCAGTGGAAGGGCCAACCAAGAAACCCAGGTAAGGATGAGGATTGGGCAAGTTGACGTGGGGCGTCAGGTTGCAGCTTCTCACCTTACAGGTAATAAACAATATCCCCGCCAATACGATAATCCGATAATTTACGATACACCCCAAAAACAAATGAGGCTGACATGGCTTGTTTGAAAGTAGTTTAGTGTATCTTGGCATTTAGGGTTCGGGGAACAATGAAAGAGTATAGGGGGTGACACCGTTTTCCGGAAATACTGTACGAGATTGCTTGAACAAGTAGAATCAAATATTTGGGCTAAGCCATCCGATTACTTTATCAAATTATGAAACATTGCTAGCATAGGAAACGGAGGGCATAGATATGGATATCTATATGTATGCCATCAACGTCATAAACAAGGTCAGGCCAAGATCCCGTAGATTAGGTATAATAGCTAATACCTTCGTCTAACGAGGTCTGTATCCTTAACTCCGGACCGAAGCGTTTTAATCTAGCCGCTAAATTACTACAGTAGTTGTCTATATCTAAAAACGTCATGTTTACGAAAAGTGCCATTGTTACCTGGCTATTTTCGTATAGTTTTTAAAATGAAATTGTTATACGTAACGCAGTCTCTTTCGCATTCACGCTAGTGATGTGGAAAACCTGGTAAGGAAAAACCACACCCAAAGAGATCGATCGATCTGCTATCGAACTTCCCTCCGCCTACTATAGAGTTCTTGAGTGAATATAGTAAGAAAGAGAAAGGAATCCTTCAACCGAGAGTGGAGAAATAAGCTATTTATCCTTGACGGATAAACTCCCCTGTGTCGTCCCTAATATTTTCCTTTTGCTCTTATTCAGACTTAGGGCAGCTAGAGATCGAACCCGATGGCGCTGGCGTAGACGACGGAGAAAATGCCGGTAAAGATGATTTCGGTGAAGATGATTTCGGTGAAAATGATTCCGGTGAAGATGATTTCGGTAAAGATGATTCCGGTGAAGTCGATGATAAAGAAGATGACCATGAAGGCAAGTTAGAAGCAATACACGAGCTGCCAACCTTCAATCCGTTGTCCAATGTACATCCTGCCTTGTTTCCATTCTGATTGTGGAATTTAACAACCCCATTATCGTTTACCTCTATCCATGCAACAGGCTGGCCGTTTTCCGTGCCACATGTATCCACGTTTAGCTTAGAGTACTCCTTACGAATACCATGTGTAACATTGCTTAGATCTAGTCCTTCGTTAGTACCGATAGAATATCTATAGAAATACAACTCACCTGAACAGTCATTTCCATCAAGGAGACCAAAAGATGCTGAGTATCCTGTGCATCCATGGTTATCATCAGACCATATCACGCATTGGCGATCGTAATCGATAACTTTGAGCGCGCCACCTAAGGCGGCACGTATATAAACACTAGCAACAAGTAGGAATATAGTGAAGGCCATTTTTGTTTTATCTTGATAAAAATTGGAGAACAATACGCAGATACGAAGTATGTAGGTAGGAGGATTTTATATGCCATATCTACGAGTAGCCTGCAACCCTTTGCCACACTCTTTTTGGGAATTTGTTCGGGTGCTAAAAAGGAGTCGCGGGCATGCGCAGGGTCGGGAGTGGTTGCGAGCCGAAACAGTGTCGCGTAACTAAACCATATCTACTCTGAAACATAGCAACCCCTTAGTTTTGTGGGGCTTTATTCTAAGAAGCGCTTCTAATAGACTTCTAAGCTTCAGCATCAGCTCAAGCTTATTGGCTAGTGCCTCGCGTATCCTTTCACTCTCTGACAGTACTTTGCAAAAATCTAATCGGGCCCTTATACCCAAAACATAGAGCATTACGTTTTTACAATGCCAAACCGTGTCTTTTTAAAAGTTAAAGGTATTTATTTTCCCACTTGTAGCCTTCGTGACTTCTTTCACTCTTCATATACCCGTTCCTCGGATCCATCTAAGCTCTTAAGCTCTATCATAATGGCCAAGACATCTCGCAGACGATCTATTATCACCAGCTTAGAAAAGAAATCGATTCGACAGAAAAGAAATCGGCGTAAGACAAACTTAGAAAAGAAATCGCATGAATATAGCAAGCTTTGTGGGGCGGATGTTTGTTTAGGCATACGAATTCGAGAATCAGGAAAAGTGTTCATCTTCTCTGCGGATACCTCGGGATTTTGGTCATTCCTTCATTCTCATCTAGTATGTGCTCCCCAAAAGCTTTTATAGCTTGGGACATCCTAACTTTCCTAGGGCTCCTACTATCCAACGCCAATTCAGAGAACCGAAATGAATCTCTAGATGCCACACCCTCGACACCGTGTAATGTCTCGGGATCCCGTCTAGCGAGCGAAATGTTCATACGAGCGCTAGCTAGGTACAATAAAGGGCTGGTGTTGGATCATACCTCCACCCTGGATACCGTGCAATGCCTTGAGATACTACATAGTAAGCAAGGCAAGCTGAATGAGGCTGAGCAAATATTTATACTAGCAAAATCCTTCTTTCGTTCTCTGGTGTCTTGGTCTATTCGTCACGCATAGCCTTCACCAAGAAGGCTGTAGTAATATTGTGGAGGATTTATCCCAGTAGGCAATTTATTTCATAGCTATGGATTCCGTGTGCAAGTGATTCCTATGCCCGACCGCTAAACGAAGTAGAGAGTTGGACTTGGCCCAAAATATATGACTGTTTCTGAGATATTGCTGGAATTGGAAACGGAGAATTAAGGTATGAATACTTAAACTAATTAGCTAAGTACAGGATGGATCGAAATCAGTTTCACCACTCTGCTCTCATGGAGTCTTTCTCGAACCCTGTCCCGAAACACGTTAATGTGCTTTTGACTTAGCGTGGTTCCAAGTTGTGAATGGTATTGAAATTTGCCGTGACGTAGTTGCTGAAGATTTTATAGATTACTTGTAATGCTCGTGATATGAATACTGGCACTCGCGGGCCCCAAATTCGCTCGTTGACAAAGTTACTTCTGCCTGGCTAAACAACTTCGTAGCAGATTAAGGGCTTCGGCATACTGACCTAAAGATTTCCAAGTGAAGGATAGGTTGGCCATACTATTCAGGGTGTCGGGATGGTCGTCGCGGAGCTTCATCTTGCGAGTCTCCATCACCTGCACGTCGAGCTGCTCGGCCTCGTCCCACTGGCCCTGTTTCCAGAACGTTGACGCTAGGTTGGCCATACTGATAGGAGTTGGCAAGCTCTATCACCGAGTCATGACCAAGGAGGTCGATCAGCGCACTAAAAGACATACACTAACTCGAAGATACATAGACGAGTGCAACGTTGGCGGAATATATCCTAATACGGAATAATGCGTCTGAGGTAATGCCTCGGGATAGAAAGAGAGTGAGAACTGAGTTAAAACTGATTTTGAATATCACTATACTTCAATATCACTGTTTTTGCAGCAATTTCAGGCTTTCTACCAAATCAAAATTTCCTCTCAAGAAGTTCTCTTCTCCTGGCGCTTTGTAGCAGGCTGTGTTTCAATCTCACCACCATATCGTTTCCCTGTTTTGACATCGTATCTAGTAATATAGTCCCGAAGTGCGTCCGACGAAACATCGCAGTCTGAAGGACCGAGATGATCCCGTTTGCCCACAAATAGTAGTTGACGTTTCACAGCTTCCTCGAACTCCTTTCCTGGGTCAGCAACATTAAAGCCGTATTCATTGATCATCAAAAAGTAGTGGGTTCTAGCAAGGTTCGATAAAGTAGAGCGTAGCAAGAAGTTGCCCGGTAATGGAAATTTGTACAAGGTCCGAGTTTCGAACAAGTATAAAACGACAAGAGAGTTATTGTTCGATGCAAACCATAGCATAAGCATTTCTTTAAAACTTCGATGAACAGAAATTTGGCCCTCGCAGAACATGGGTTGTGGCTCATCTTCGAATCCCTCTGCTAGAATACGCTGATCAAGATCAACATTTTGCGCCTGGTCTACCAAGGCTTGTTCAGTGCCCATATCCTGATCATTATCCACCACCTGATCACTAGGTATGTCTTGGGTCTCATGCATATGCGTATCGAGGCCTGAACTCTGTTCACCGGTCATGCTTTGGTTATCGGCTAGACTTGGATCATGTGTGTTAAGGTTGTCTTCTCTGGGTAGACCGGAAATCTCAGTTCTAGGGAGCAAAGTCCCATTAGACTCGTTGGGAGGATGCACTCCTTGGTTGGTAATGGCTTCGTATAGAGGTGACTTCCCGAAAAACGAAAAGATGATATCTCGCGTTATCGCTAACGACGTAACGTACTGCTTCCTGGGTTGATCTATGCTATAAATTTGGTCGAGGAAAAGATGTCTTCGCTCTTGTTGATATTGGACAGGCCTTGAACAATTGAATCGATGGTCTGCCGCTGCATCACTGTTGTCTGTTGTATATTCTGGGTCGCTGCCGGTTTTATCTTCGGGTTTGGCTAACGCTCGCCAAATATGTCGCAAACGTCTCGCACCTGTGTCGAGAGGTCCCTTCTCTACCTGGTAGAACTCCTCTCTGCAAAATGACCGGAAGAAATCTTGTGATATCTTGTCTTCCGATGTATCCTGCCTTAGATTACTGATCTGGTCTGAACAAAAGCCAACCCTCTCTGCTAATATTGCCATGTTCTGAAGACTGAACCCCTCGCTAGGCCAGAACGATACCATTCGATGCTGTCTTGACTTGAGATATCGCTTTGCGAAATGTCTAAAGCTAAATAGCCATAGTTGCATACTGCAGATTCTGAAGCAATCTGAAGATGAAGATTCTAGGAGGGGTCGAAAGGTATGCTCTGATGTTTGAATCTCGAAATTTCTTCCCGTTCCCACAGCTCTCCATTGACGGAGTAAAGCCTTGCTTAAACTTCCTCGAAAAAGTGGGGGACAGAGGCGATGTAGAGCCTTTGCTGGGCCCTCTAAGAATATCGTATCTTGGACGAGGGTGTTAATAGTTAATATCCTCCCTTTAGTTGAGATGAGTCGGTCTAATAAAACCTTCCGATCTTTGTCTTCGATAACACGAGGAAAGATTTTCCCAGATTCCATAAGCCTCGAAATGCGGTCACTATCATTGTGTGAATACTCGGGAATAAGGCCCTCCACAAGCCGTACAGAAATTGAATCAACAACTAAGGGATTTTCGTGGACTATCTTTGACCATTTATCATGGATCGAGCAAAGGTAGTTATAGACAAACTAACATAAAAAATAAGCCAGAGCTATATTTAAAAGTGGGGATCTCACCTCGTGACACTTTAACCCTAATATTCGTTCTATCTGGGATGTTTTGAAAGGTTCCCAAAGCCCTATATAAGGGATCAATTGATCAAACCCTTGTAAAAGAAGCTTGTTATGCTGTAGGCGTTTGATATCTTTTTTTCGGCCGTCGGAATCAAATCTCGCCCACCACTTCTGCTCTTGTGTAAGGTTTCCTAGGTTTTGATACTGCCGTAGGGTGCGATAAATTTCGCCGTCTTTTAACTTCAGAGCATTCGAAGATTCCTCTCGCATCTGACGGCATGCATCAGTTGAGATACCTATAATGTAGATAAGCGTTTGCTTTAGTGGCTCTATATAAAAAGGCTCACCGTCGAGGTAAAGATCAACTAGCCACTCGGTCTCTCCGTGCGCTTCGCCAGCCCTTAGTCTATGCTGGCCATAGAGACAAATGAGCTGCTGACTGTTGTTGAATCTTAGGGGCAGGCGACTTGTTGGGTTGAGTAAAGTCTCCTGAGAGATATTCGTGTAGACGAGACCGTTCTTTAATGTTTCTTGGTCAATGGTCGCAGCAATACGATGCTCTGGTTCTAGATTCGCACATCCTTCAATCTCAAATATATTCAGGATTCTTTGAAAATTCTTCTTATCAAACTCCCTCACACCCATCATGTCTAACGACTCGAATTTGAGGTGGCGTAGCTCTATAATAGCACAGCCCACGAAATACTGAAGCTTTTGATAGGCGACTTCGTTCGCTAGGTCACCAAGAGTGGCCTCAGAAGAGCTCATTTTTGATTTTTTGCACTTGGAAGAAGCCTAAAGGCTTTAACTCCTTTAAGGCTGGCTCATGGGACAAAAATGGCTCGCAGAACAGAAACGGCTCGCGGTTTCTACTCAATCACTTACTCGGTCTGCTAGTTGGTCTGCTCAGACTAGTTTGTCTTGTGAGACTACGCGGTCTTCCCAGACTACTCGGTCTTCCTAGACTAGTTGGTCTTGTGAGACTACGCGGTCTGCTTAGACCAATCGGTCTTTCCAGACTAGTTGGTCTTGTGAGACTACGCGGTCTGCTTAGACCAATCGGTCTTTCCAGACTAGTTGGTCTTCCTAGACTAGTTGGTCTGCTCAGACTAGTTGGTCTTGTGAGACTACGCGGTCTGCTTAGACCAATCGGTCTTCCCAGACTAGTTGGTCTTCCTAGACTAGTTGGTCTGCTCAGACTAGTTGGTCTTGTGAGACTACGCGGTCTGCTTAGACCACTCGGTCTTCCCAGGCTAGTCGGTCTTCCTAGACTAGTCGGTATTCCCAGACTAGTTGGTCTTCCTAGACTAGTTGGTCTTCCTAGACTAGTTGGTCTTCCTAGACTAGTTGGTCTTGTGAGACTACGGTCTGCTTAGACCAATCGGTCTTTCCAGACTAGTTGGTCTTCCCAGTCTACTCGGTCTTCCCAGGCTAGTCGGTCTTCCCAGGCTAGTCGGTCTTACTAGACTAGTTGGTATTGTGAGACTACGCGGTCTGCTCAAACCACTCGGTCTTCACAGACTAGTCGGTCTGGGAAGACTAGTTAATGCTCGCGGCGATGATCTATAAGCTAACTAAGTCTAGACTACGTAGCTTTATGGCTGTGGTCCAAAAGACTATAAAGAATGAAACTCAATTTCAATTTAAACCATACATACATATACTTTATACTTATCGTGAGATATCTGCGTGGCTGCCAATCCTTATGGCCCATGGAAAAGCTTCAAAATAATGCCTCTTCAGACTCCAAGCACCACCTGGGTTTGCCAAATGGAGAAAATCATCCTATTAGACGGGATCATGCACCGTTAGTCCCTATTTCCACACCAAATTTATCCATGCATACCTTGAGCAACTCGTTCGTGGATGAATTCTTCGTCTTGTCAACAAATATGCGCCCTGTTTCCGACAAAGACGGATCTGCCATTTCAAGACCCGAATCAAGTAGTAATGTAGCTTGATCACTGAGATATATCACAAGCCACCCAATAGATTCAACATCACTTTCTTTTCCTTTGGAATCTTTCTGTTCAATGATGCTATCCCCGATGTTTCCTAGGTATAAGTTAGCGCTGGTCTTAAAGAATTGCTTTTGTACTCACCAATTTGCAATTGACCTGTCCACGTCAAAAGAATACTTGCAATGTTGATAGAGCCGTGTGTGATTTTCAGTTCATAATGGATAAACTGTAGGCCTTCTAGTATCTCCTTACAAATTGTCGCGATATCCGCTTCACTAAACCGTATCTTTGCTATTGCACAACCGAGGGATAGAGCTAAGTGCTGGTACTCGTATACCAAGAAGACGCTTCCTTTAGAATAAAATGCATCTACAAGAGGCACGAGATTCTTATGGGATATTCGTCTTAACTGTCGAAAAACGCGGTCCTGGCAGGTCTTCCGTTCCTTGAGGAGACAGACAGGAAAACCCTCGATATCTTTGAGCGCAATGACGCCCGGTCCCGCTTGATCAATATTGTAAGACCTGTGATACTGAATTTGGGAGTCCTTTTTAAATCCCTGTGAAGCAATTGATATAGGCGCTGGATTTACAGGAATGCCAAATCGTAAGAGGGACCTTTCTTGCTCCTTTATGGTATGTTTCTGCTCGACAAAATGTTGTTTGTCTCTATTCTCATTATTTTCCAGTTGCAATGAATAGGGTAGAAAGGTTTTTCGCTTTGACGAAGACATAGAATATTGTAGTAACACTAGAACCTATGAAGGGAAAACCATACTTAAACCGATACGAAATTAATGTGCGAGCCGTTTTAGTCTCCTAGGCCGCCACGCCATTATCTACTACGCTTAGTTATAAACTAACTGCTCGCCTATTATGTAATTGGAATATATTTTTCGAGTTCTTCTCTAATGATACAGTACGTTCCGAAACTGGTACGACCACCGACACTCTTCGAGTGACTTTCCCACCCCTACGTCAGGACACATTAGTCTTGATATAAGGTTCTCCCGGAATACCCCTGTACGGTAGGTTGTGCGTGCGTGTATTGCTTCGTCCGTAGATTATCTAGACCGCTTTCTATACTACAGTAGTATATGTATCTTACAATGCATCTTTAGGACCATAAAGTGGTCGCGCCAGTTTCGTGAGTTCGTCCCGAAACTGGTGCAACCGGCCCCACTCTTCAAGTAATCTTCTAGTCCCACCGCCAAGGTACACAGGCCATATTTGACCTAATCCCGGAATATCAATCTTCCTGGGCCAGTCCCAATACCAAGAGTTACCTTTCTCAAAAATACGCTGCCTTGTCTGGTCAATGTATTGACGATATGAAGATATATGGCAATCTAATCAGACACTGGTTGCCAACTTGCCACATCCTAGCGAATTCATTCTCTTGATATACATATAATAACCTTCGAGTGACGACGGTTTTTTTTTTTTTTTTTTTTGCGTCTTTGGCTTGGTTAGGAAGTTGACAGCTTATTTTGCGTTCAGGTACAGGATGGATCGAAATTAGTTTCACCACTTGCACACGGAGAATCTATCTCGAACCCTCTCTTGAAACACGCTATACTTATTATAGTTACTCTTCCCCTGAACCCCTGTCTTGGCAGTAATTCAATACACGTGTAAATAACAGCTTCAAAATAGCTTCTGTATTAGACCTATATGGTTCTTTGGCATTCTAGAACGTTGACCCTGCAAATAGGCTAAATACAGGGGTTGTCTGCTCTTCTCGTCTGGAGATGTGGCAGGAATTCGAATTCCATTCCCGTCAACCGCGCACCGCTATACCGAGCGCGGTGTATAGAGACAGTACTAGTGGGTAATATTTATTTGCTTTGTGGACTAGCATTTGCTTGACTGACTGATTGTGATCATGCTGACGTTAGATTCTTTAGAGCCTTCGGACGAAGACGATGACTACTAGTTCATATCCCGATGAACGTGATTTTTAACCGTATGTACTTAAACATGGAGACTAAGATTCGCAATATGCTCCTACTCCAGGGTACTACGGTCGCACACCTACGTTAGGCTGTAGGCTCAGCCCTTCCCCCGACTATCACTCCGAGTACGATCTAGAAGACCTGTGCTAACACGAGCCCGAAAGACCCAGACTGCTTCAGCTATCCGAGTAGCACGATAGGATGCTAAGCGACGAGCTTCCAGCAAACTGTATCCAATATACGATAGAATGGAAAGTTACAGTAAATAAGAAGGTACTCTCGCGAGATACTGAAAAGGATATAGTCCTGACTCTAAGTGCTTATTAGCCGAAGACCTTAAAGGGTAAGTTTGAGAGGTTGTTAGAAGGGAAAATCCCCTGTAAAGAAAGGGTAAGGTCGGACGACACTTCGATCGCTGTATCGGTAAATAATCGATCCTAACGCGACCTAATAAAACAGTTTGACTATCTCGACATCGATTGGACTGCTGTTGAAAAGCAGCTGCTGAAGTAGGGCGAACTATTTCGTCGAGGTAAGAAACTGAGGCTAAATATTACCTTCAAATATGTTGAGAACGACTCTCTCTACAAAATTACCTCGGGTAGGGTCGAGAAAAGAGGAAGGTCATCAGTCACTAAACGAATACTTAACGAGCGAGACGCTTAACTGGATACCGAAGAAAACGTGTCCGGGTAAGAATCGATATAGCGGGGTGTTTACAATCTAATGCATTATCTATCCTTCTTATACCATCTCGGCCTATATTACTAGCAAGACCCCTACGGAAAGAAGCACTATAAATTAAGGAGCCATTAATTAAAGCGTTTGATTGCCTTTATAGAGAAAGGCGGCGCCTTACTGTCTTATGAAGATATTCCGGATAATTTCCGTAAAGAACTATATATAGAAGAGCGGCATAGACTAAAGAGCCAACAATCTCAGAAGAACAAGATAGTAGGCCCCCTAAAAAGCTGTCAGCCTATTAATATCAACTTCAATAGGATATAATCTTCCCTATAATAAGATACGTCTAACCTAACCACAGCCTTAGCAATAGTTCTGCCACCTAATGACCAAGTTATAGAAGACCTTAATCTTACTAGACTAAGAGACGAAGCTATCAAAGATTACGGCGTATAGTATAAATCGAATGTTAGTGACGAGAATCTAAAAGCATAGTTTCGGCAAGCATATAATATAGCGTTAGCTAATAGTCTTAATCTTAGACTGATTCATAAGGACTAAGATCCTTATTCTTTATCGATAAAGGGATTATGATAGGTATTATACACTAATTCGTAAGATATATTGGCCAATAGGTTAAGTGTGTAAGGAATATCACGCTAGACGACCAAGCTACGCAAGCCGTAGCTTGAACCTACATAAAGGTGTAATAAAGCGGTCGTATATACTAGATTAGCTTTTAAATTACTTCTGTTTTATACAAATCCTTAAGTTGATGATTAAACCGTAACTGTAAATATAAAAGTAGAGTTGGTAGAGAATTAGGTAACTTTTATAGCTGGTAGTATGTATATATTGTGTTATTGTAAGGCGTAACGCTAGGTCGCCTCTAACGCTACCAACTAGCTATAGGTATTAATGACTACCCCAGAATGTCGGAAATGACCTAAGGCACTCTGTTTTCGAGATCTAACAACCTTAATATACTGCTCGAGGAAAGGTTGAAATCCTTATTCTGGGTCTTCTTCATACCGCACAAAGTTCCGTCTAATATATACCTTTAACTCAGAGAAAAACTCCTTAATAGGATTTAAGTCGGGTAAGTAAAGTAGTAGATATACGAACTTTACTCCTGCTTCGATGCACATTTCCTCAATACGATCAGAATG